CCGAGGAGTACCTCCCCCCAAGGAACTTTCGTCATGTATGACCAAAGTGCGTTCGTCATAATGACGAAAGTGCCATAATCCAATAATAATACACCTTCTCAGGACTCATTTTCTAGAACAAAAACCATGCTGCAGTTCCACCGGTACAATAGAACTAGATCCTCGAAACTACACTCGCATTTGTCTGTGCAAACAAGGGAACCTCTTCAGATATCCAACTCCGTTTTAATACAATAATACCGATTCGATAGAGGGTATTGTTCTATTAAAATGGCTAAAAAAGGATTTAGGCCGATGACTCTTCTTTCAAAAGTTATCCGTTTTTTTCTGTATTCGCTGAAAGACCACAAACACAGTCACATTAAAACATTCGTTTTTCGATAAAAACAGTTAATTATATTGTTTTTTATTACCCTGCTACTCGTCTGTTAATATCACAGGAATCTTCAACCGTTCAGCTTGTCTGCATTTCGAGGGAAAGCATAATTTGTACAAGGGGTAAAGCTTTACTCAGACTCGGTTGAATCCCGTACAAATTCGTTATCTAGCCCACAAATTCGACCGGGGTTTGAAAGAGAAAATCAGCTGGAAATCAGAAGAAGTGGCTGCTGAAATGCAGTTGAAAAAACGACCAGGTGGAAAGTTTCTATTTTCGTCGACTGAGTTCTTGAAAGCCGACCAGATCAGATCATTTTTCTCGCGTCTCAAGAATACTCGAGGAAAACTAGGAGCTGTACAAGAAATTGACGAGGAAGATAATGAAGAATTCAAGGACAGCCTCCCCCTTAAGTATGTTTGGGAATTTAGGTGGATTTGATCACTCAGGTGATTTGTTTCAGGTGATTTTGACTCTATTTGAATTTAACAGACCAAATTCACCTGTCTTCCTCTTGCATACTATTTACTAAACTACAAAACAGATTTTTTTATGGAGACAAAGAAGTTAAATGAACAAAATATTAGAAAAACTTATTTTTTTTGTTTGAAAAAGACGACTTTTCTACAAGTCTCAGATCAAATCTCATTAATTACTGTTGGCGAGAAAAATATGTCGAAGAAATTGTAAGATTCTTCCTTCTTATTTACGTGAAAAGCTGCCAGCTGAATATTTGTTTATTTTCTGTTCTCCTACTTAAGTTTTGGTTCGTTAGAATGAAAAGATATCTCATTTTATTATGCTTCACTCTTTTTCGATTAATAAAACCTTGATTGATCACGAAGGAGAAAGAACAGAGGAACTTTAGTCAAAAGAGGAGAGTGTTCGGCAGCTTCTTTTTTCTGACCTTTTAACTATTATTCGAGCTTTATTATTCGAAAATTTGGATTTTCGGGACAGCTTTAAGCAAGAAACTGAATATATTTGGCCAAAGAACTGTTTTCTTTCTTTCGTACTCTGTCATCAAGCTCTGAAATGCGCCATCGGAACGCCGTTGAGAGACAATGATTTTGCACGGTGGTCTGTTACTTTAGGTGAAGAAGAGCAAGATCAAGACGACGATAACGATAGTTTAAGTAGTAGTAGCAACGTGGAAATAGCAGTATTGATGATATTATATCAGATGAAGAACCAGTAACCGATGTGTCCACAATGAAGGATGTTCAAAAAATGATGAGAGTGATGCGGATGATGAATGGACTAAAAATGTAATTACACAAGAGAAATCCATGGTGAAAAACAAAGTGACTGATGTTTTAGCAAAATGTCGAATAATTGGCAAAAAAATTAGAAAATCTCACGGGTTAACAGATAAACGTTTCAAATACGCGAGCTGAAGATATTGTTATCGACATGAATATCCGTTGGAATTCATCGTCTGATATGATTGAACATTTTTTGATAGTTAGAAAAGCAATTAGTGATTAGGGCATTTTTCCATAGGGCAGACGGACACTTGCTATAGAAGCAGTCCAAAAGCCTACAAACACTTTTTTTATGCACCATTGTACCAGATATACATTTTAGTTGTGTTTGTTGTTAATGAATAAAAACAACTTAAAAAATAAAAATTAAAAATTACTAATTAACAGTAATTAGCATTTCTCACCATAACAGAAACATTTCTTAGACTTGAGTCTGGAACATGAAGTGTTGAAAATTTAATTTCGTAAAATTTTTCTGCTTAAGTCGGGTCTCTAGAAGCAGGTCTTCAAGCTAAAAAACATTTTTGTGTTTTCTATTCTGAAGATCAAATTATATTAAGCACAGTCTACCAGGTAACCTTTAGAAAACTAAATTTGTCTATATTTCCTGTTCCAAACTGAAGTTCGAGAAACACTCCTTTATCCGTCATTCGTTAAATTGGGTCCAAAAACGACTTTTAATGATCGACACCAGTGTGCGATGTGGATTATAGTCGATCTTAGCTTGAACGAATATATTAAAGCTACACAGCTTCAAAAAAAAAGTATTATTGATTACTTCAACCAGAAAAAAAAGAAATTATTCGACATTTGGCTATAAAACATGGAATAATTACAAAACCTTTTGCACCACCAAGACCAACTAATCCGTCTGAAGTAACAAAAAATAATGTTGTATAATGTTACCAATCAGACGAAATTAGCAGCGTTGCTTCTGGTAAATAAGATGTGGTCATTATCCGATCATCTGATGGTACAAAAACAACTTCAAAAACAATATCTTGTTATGACGTTTAAAGAAGTTTATCAACCGTTTAAACTAATGTATCCAAATGAAAAATTTGGTTCATCATCACTGAGTTTACTTCGTCTAAAATATGTTTTAAACTTACCAATAGCTGAAATACCCAATGTGTTTGTCTGAGTAAATGGCGGTATCAATTACAAGTCTGCATCTCTTTTCAATGAAAAGTTATTCAAATGGATCCATGGCATTTCTGTTTGAAATGGATAATGAGAATTTATTTGTTATGCATAAATATTCTTTTAAAATAAAGCTACTGATGCAGCTTGTTATGACGCTGGTAGTCTGTGCATATCACTTGTCTGAGTTTTTATGATGAGAAAAAAGCAGGCGCTATATTCATGCTGAACAGTAGCCTTAAGTAGTGTTTCGACTCTTAAATTTTCCCTAGGCACTGCTAAACCTACAAAAGAGACTAAAAAAAGTCAATATTATTAGAAAAAATAAAACAATTTTATTGAAAAAACCTAACGACCAAATAAATCAGATATTAACCATTTTGAAAACTCAAACTCTTTCAAATGCAAAAGAAAATATCGTAGATTTCTAATTAAATGTTTTTGGTAATGATATAATGATACGAGCTCTAGTAAATAACCAGGAACAAAACTCTTATTTAGAATTTGAACTGAAAAACGTAAACTGGGTACATTTCTCTAGTCATACATCTTCCACTAGTCAACTACACATTCTCTGAATAGGTACCAGGCTGATTTAAGACAGAAGCGAACAATACAAAAGAAAAAGTAACTAAAAAATCGTTTATGTAGCTATAGAACTTTAGCTGATTTCTTGATATACATCACTGAAAAAAAAAATAAAAATAAAAATCATATGATAAAGTGTTTTGTATTTTATTTAACAAACAATCGTTTTATTACATGGATAAGATGTGATCACATAAGCGGCAATTCCTTCATATCTATAATTGAAGTTTCCAACTTGACCAGGGACTGTAACGCCAATTTCACATAGATTTACGGTATAAAAATGTTGATTATATTGAAGGTTATAATATCTATGAAATGGACATGTTCCAGGTTGTTTTGTGTTATAAACATACCCAGCCACACCTTCATATGTATACCCCTGTAAAGTGGAGCCAGGTGAAATTGTTCCGATTTCAGATGCATTTGTTGTATAAAAATGGTACGTTGTTAGGGGCCTAACATATCGATAAAATGGTACGCTGTTGGGTTCTCCAAACCTTGGATAAACGTTGCATGCTATACCTTCATAGACATATCCAAATCGACCAGCTTGACCAGGTTGAATTGTACCAATTTCAGCAGCATTTGCTGTGTAGAAATGATCATAGGTACCTCTGCTATAACGGTAGAACGGAACAGGCGCACCTAAAAGAACTTTTATGGAAGAGAATCCATATTGTGAAGTAACTGTTTCTTATTACCAAGACTAATACCTAAATTATGTCCGCACTTCTTCGTGCTCAAACGTCGGCGTCACTCCACTCAAATGTCTGTCTCTCAAATGTCGGTTAATCCTACTTTCGAGATGTGTTAAAAGAGAACTTATAAATAGATTTATTCAGCACTAGCTTTTCATTAATTAACTTAATTAATCAATAGAACATAAAAGAAGAAAATCGCATAAGCCTATTTTTGGAAAGCTTCACGTACTTTCTTTGGTCGACCAATTGTTTTTCGTTTACCTATCGACATAGAGCGATTTGGTTTAGTAAGTTGATACACGTTAAACAGTTTGCCAAACCAACACTATGTGAAGTTTACTATTTTCGACACGGTCGTTTTTTGGAGTTTTATCGACTTTTCTAGCACGTCACAAAGAACATCAGTCATCGAAGACTTTGAACTATATGATTAAGGCTACAATGTATTTGCTAAATAAAATTATTAAAATGCTAAGTTGACTTTTGCCATGTAAAATTTGTATCTGCTCAGTAAATAAATTTGACTGCTAAGTGAAAATATTAAACGCTCACGTCAGTTAATTTATACTTTCTCAGTAATAAAAATATTTGCTAAGTTTGATAATTAATATCTAAGTAAAAAATTTATTTGTTAAGTTAATAAATTGAAATCATAGTTATAAAACAAAATCGCTAAGTAAAAATTATTACTATTAAGTAATTTCTAATAAATTCTAATAAGGTCATCAGAGATGAACATACATTTAGAGATCGACATTCGTTGTCAAGATTTTTTACAATTGCAAATGATATTGTTAATAAATGGCCCAAGTCTCGCAATCAGAATAAATAGATCTGATTCTATTTTCAACAGAACCAACAATTTCACTTAAAAAATGGACTGATGCATATCATTTCGCCTCAAAATCAGTATCACAAATACCAACTAAAACAAAAGATTTTACTGATTAGGATATACCAGCTGATGAGACAGAAAATATTACCACAAATGAAATACAGAAATACAGAAGGAAAAAATGAACGTCCTTCGACCAATTTAAAGATCTTCAGTTTGGATTATGGAAAGTAACTTTATCTGACAATGGGTGAGAAAAGAAAAGAAAAAGAGGTGGACCGCGAAAAGACAAAAAAGACTTTATTAATACAATAACTGTACAATTAAATTTTTTACTTAGATATTTATGTCTCTTTACTTAGCAAAAATTCTTTATTTACCTATCGATTTCTCATATTTCGCTTAGAAAATCAAACTTTTGTACTTAGAGTTTAAATAAAAAACTTAGCAAAAATGTCTTTTTTAACTTAGAATTATAAATATAAGAATAGTCAAGACATATCTGTCCGTCTGTCTGTCCGGAACGCTCAACATATATACATAAGAATAAGAATAAGAATATTCACATATCTGTCCTTCTGTCCGGAACGCTCAACATAGAAAATTTTTACAACATATATAAATGCTGGGCGTCCGTGGTTTTCCACGGGTTATTTCTAGTTTTCAATAAATTACTTAGCAAAAATTGAATTTTTTACTTAGCATTTAAATGGGAGCCTATAATTAATTGAGTAGTCATTACGGTTCAATTAATCTAGCAATTCTTACCCATTTAGAAAGAGAATCA